TGAGACGTTGTGTCCTTCATTCAAAGGACTTCGTCAGTCCGAGGAGCCACAACAAACTCAGTCCCACAAGCAGCACACTTACATAGTGGGACAACTGGTTTGCTGATGATAAGGGGAGAGGGCGGGCCCCAGAAACCATCTTATTCAAGGATTCAAGGTTCTTTATTTGTCATACACACCACATGTGGTACATGTAGTGGAACGAAATTGTGCACACAGGATCCAACAAAAGTATAAAATGTAAAATAAAAACAGTAATAAGATCTAAGATATGAACTAAGAAAAACGTTAACTAAAAATACACTAAGCTATCACCAGCAAACTGGTTGTCCTCTATGTGAATGTGCTGCTTGTGGGACTGAGTTTGTTGTGGCTCCTCGGACTGAAAGTCCTTTGGATAAAGGATGAAACATCTCACCAAAAAAACAAACCATCCAGATGACATAACTGAAATTTGTTGGATTTTTTTTTACCTGGATTATTGAGCATGAACTCTGATGTACAATCAATACAATTTAGTAGGGAAAAAACAAAGAGCATGTCAAACTTCACAAAAAGTTGAATTTCCCTCTCAACAGTTCTCGAACAGGAGCGTACACCTTGGATGCAAACATTCTTTTTTTTATTTCTAGACCAAACATTGTGTGATGTTTGAGTCGGAACAGAAATATGACCCGGCGCTCCTCTAACAACATCAAACTCTGATGTTACACCATTCATGGTGACTTGATGTATATTACAGCCAAAATATTGAGATGGCAAATTCCGTTGGAGCTGGAGGCAACAGTAGGTCTACTAACATCTTTAAGAGCTGCAACAAGAAATACTTTATTAAAATTATACCTATATAATACTTTGAAAATAATAATGAAAAATAATTTAATTTTATAATTATAACACTTTTTTCTATAGAGCGTCATGCATGGCAAACACACCATTTCCAATTGTACATCACTTAAACCAAGCCTTTGACATCCAGAAATCAAAGTTAGCACACTTTGAGACTCACAAGGCCCATGTCTTATTTTTTTTTCTTCAGCAGCCCAGATAGTGACTGAATTAACAACAAAGTACACAGAAATAACTATGCAATCTGATTAACAGGCTACATGTACATTAAATGTAATCAGATTGGGGTTACAGAATTTCTCATTTAACTAAAAATTCCCAGCAGGTAGTTAAAGCTTTGCAAATGTGAAGAAAGACTGTACTGCAGAAGGCCCAGTGACTCATACTATAGCTACATTGTGACAAGATAACCTGTCTCACTGTTTATATTAAATAATTTGATCCCTACACTTACTAAGTTATAAGAATATGTTTATTGAATTTGCACAATTACCAGCATCATCAGCAGGTGTTCATAGTTGAACTGAGCGATGTTTAAATGTTGTAAACGGTACCTTTGATACACTGTGGGAAGTCAGAGCTTTTGCTCATATAGTAAATGCCGGTTGATTGGTCTTAGACGAAAAATGATTATGTTAAGCACATAAATGGCATGATTCTTTGTGGTGACTTGTGTTTCGGTGTGTGTACCGTATTTTTCGGATTATAAGGCACTTAAAATCCTTTAATTTTCTCAAAAATCAACAGTGAGCCTTATAATCCGGTGCACCTTATGTATTAATTCTGGTTGTGCTGACCTCAAACTGATTTTATGTGGTACAACTGAACAATGTTGAGTGTTACTGTGAATGAGTTGAATAAAATTTCACTTATCTGACTGTTTGGTTTCGCTTAATGCGCCTTATAAACCGGCGCGCCTTATAGTCTGAAAACTACGGTATGCTGTTATTTGTGAGCTTGTGTTGGAATCAATCTGACATGGCCACAGGGTTGTAGGGATATTTGATTCTACAGCAGAAGTGAGGAGATCTGTTTGCTTTTTCTGTTTCTCCTTAGAAGTTTTACCAAAACCATTTTCCAGGGGAAGTCGATGCAAAATCTTTATAAAACAATCCCAATATTAAAAGTAGTTTTGAGCCAAACGCATATAAGCAAAGACTAGCGACAGGCCTCCAACCCCACTGTTTGTGTTCCAGATCTCCAAGTGATCCTCAGCTCTGACACAACCTTTCCCTGGCTGCATGTATAATGCATTAAGGCATTATGCAATGACCACGAGTCCAGAACGGATGACAATAGTGTGGCAGCTGTCAAAGCACCAGGACACCAATTACTCCGTACGGCCATGGGTCATTCCTAACTCCTTTCTCTGACTTTCACCTTATGTGTTGATATGGAGCAGAAAACGAGCAAAAGCAAAAAAGCGAAAGTCCAACATGAAAGTCAACAGTGACCAAGTAAAGTGGAGATTGGTTGGAGGATTTTAATGAGGAAAGGAGGTTGTGAAATGAGAGAAAGTGTAAGAAGAAGCAAAAAGAGGCAGCACTGAGGGAAGATCACAGAATCAGGGGCAGCTTTTATTATAAAAGATATCCAGAGTTCACACTATCTGTCAAGATTGTTTACCATGCTTGTGTCAATTGGTATGAAATGTATACTAGTAAATAAATACTTGTGCTGAGCTTTAGGGATGATTAAATCCTTCCTCAAACAGATATTTCACATCAATCACATTTATTCCTTAGTTTAATTGTCCTTGTGCAAATTCTTCCCATTCAAGCGACTGAAACCAGCATGTACTGGATGGATACCCAATAGTAATGCTCCTTCACATGTTTTATTGAGTTTTTAGTTAGTATTGAGTTTAGTATCCATCTTACTTGGATTTCTGTGGACAGAGAGGAAAATGTGGATCATTTAGTGGAGACACAAGGGAATGCAGGGAAATACTGTATAACACCAGGCTGCATGTCTTCTTTCTGTGCAAGCATCACTTGTTTATTAAAAATAATAGCTGGAAAGTTGAGCAAAATGAAAAATCTAATCTAATTATTTCTAAATTTGATTAAATTATCAACACATGAAATGAAGAAAATGTGCATTACAGTATGTACTTGGATTAGAAAGCCTTCTTTTTTAGAAAGTTTTGTTTTAATTATTATTTGTATTAATTATTATTATAATAATTATCATCATATGTTATCTAGAGTTTTCTGCTTTTACATATTTTGTTTCTGTACCCTTCCCACCATATATTACTTTGTATAAAAAGAAGATATTTTTTCTTATATATTAACACCTACAAATGTTTTGTTTTATACACTGTATTTGAATGATATACAAACACAACCTTAAAACTGCAATGCATAGAAATAACATTTTAAACATCATTTAAAATGTTTCCATCAGGATCGCTATTTTTTAAATGGAATTATGTACCATAGGTTGCTATAAAACATAAATATTTAACATTTATGGGTCCATACCAATAAAGATGGTGAATGTTGAACAGTGAGTCAATAACAAACTAAATGCTCCACCGTCTCCACGTTTAACCCAAGGATGCAGTTTAGTATTTTTGCTTTATTTACACTGCAGTAATGTTTTCCAGACTACCTCCATTTATCGGTAATTTATATAACAGGGTCAGATGTTCAGAAGATCCAAGGGTTTATGGATCAAAAACTGTCACCTAAGAATCCAAAGATCACATTTTTGGTGCTATTTTCTGTCTTTCAGATCCTCTTTATATTTCTTAAGTTATTGTGAGTTTCTTTGATGATGGACAGGAAAACATTGTATTCTATTCTTCTATGCACTGTAGTTAAAATGTCAAAATCTTTTTGAATTTTACTTCATTAAATGCTGCTCTCACGTACATTTTTGACAACAATATTTGTGAACCCCTTTCACATTTTCACGTCTGACAGAAAATACTCAGCTTTTTGGCGTCCAGTTGTTACTGATTGTTGCATTTGCCTTGACTAGTGGATTGCAACACATTTATTCTTTCTTTGGCAAACTGAATTGTGTTATTTATCTAAATTCAAACTATATATACATTATAAACAAATATTTATTTTAAATATGTCACATATTTTTTCCAAAGTATTGTTAGATGATAGTTCATGTTTGATGCTTTACAAGTTATAATTATGTTTTTAGTTATACATTTAACTTTAGTTGAATGAGTCATGCTGCACCTTTTCTCACAATTTGAAAATCACTAACTGAATGGGACATACTCAAACATAAATGGTCCAAAAAAAAAAATTTAAATAAAATATATATAAATCCTTGAAGTAATGCATATCTCCTACCGCTTCTATTTTTATTTTATTTTTTTTACCTCAAACATAGTTTTTAATATGTTCTTTCCAAACCTTTTAAATTGGGATTATACAAAACTTTCAAGAGTAAACTATCTTCATGGAGCATACAGACTAAAGTATTATACCCATTTCTTAAAATTTTGTATACCTATCTCTCATAAAATTACAGCCTTTGTATTCAAACACTTATTACAGTTAAGTGAGGGACCGTACTGTAACTGCAATGAAATAAAATACTCAACCTCAAAGTTCATGCTCAATAATCCAGACAGAAAATCCAACAAAGTTCAGTCAGGTCATTTGGACGGTTTCTTTTTTGCTGAAATGTTTCATCCTTCATCCAAAGTCCTTTGGATAAAGGATGAAGGACTTCTGATGAAGTCCTTTGGATGAAGGACAAAACGTCTCTACAAAAAAAGAAACCGTCCAGATGACCTGACTGAACTTTGTTGAACTTTCTACCTGGATTACTGAGCATGAACTTTGATGTTTTGAACCACTTTGGCTATAGCTTTCTCAGAGGAGTCGACAATGGAGAAGGTGGGCCCAGAAACCGTCTTATCACCAGTAGACTGGTTGGTCCACAATGTGAGTGTGCTGCTTGTGGGACTCAGATTGTTTGTGGCTCCTCGAACTGATGAAGTCCTTTGGATGAAGGACAGAAGGTCTCAACAAAAAAAGAAACAGCCCAGATGACCTGACTGAACTTTGCTGGAAAATACTCACCCGTTTCTTGCACTGTATTTTGTATACTGAAGGATGAAGATCGAAAATTATACCTTATTGTCACCGTTATGATTGTTTTGTTGTCTCTTTCAGGTTCAAGAGTGGTTATGTCTGAACTGTCAGATGCAGAGAGCGCTGGGAATGGACATGACTACGCCACGCTCCAAGAGTCAGCAACAAATCCACTCTCCTTCTCATTCACCCAATCCTGAAGTTAAACCCGACCCTTCACATCTGCCTGCCCCTACTACACAAGCCCCACCTCAAACGCAGCCCCCAGCACAGTCCCATCCTGCACCTGGTCCTACCAAACAGACGGGTCCAACTGGCCCCAGTCAGCAGCAACGAAAACTGCCTCCAGGGGCCGTCCCTCTCCCTGGTATGGCCAAGGCCCCGTCCCAGCCAGATCTATCTCGAGGCTCTCCCGCCCACCAAGCTCAACAAACACGTCAGGACCAGACCCGCAGTGCAGGGAGTTCCCCTTCGCGACAACCCCCACCCCCTGAACAGACCTTTGGAAAGTTGTTTGGCTTTGGTGCTTCTCTACTTAACCAAGCCACCACTCTTATATCTGAGACCACTCAACCCCAACAGCAGTCTCCAAAACAGTCTCCTAAACCCGGGGGACCACCTGGTCCAGGACCTGGAGCTGGTAAACCTTCTGGGCCACCTCCTGCACAACAAGGGCCTCAAGTTCCTGCACAGCAGCAACAACAGCATGCAGCTCCAGACTCCTCTAAGCCTAAAACCTGTTGTCCCCTCTGTAAAACAGCCCTCAACGTTGGCAACACGTCAGAGGAACCCAACTACAACATGTGCACACAGTGCCACTCCAAAGTGTGCAACATGTGTGGATTCAATCCCACCCCACACCTAGTTGAGGTAGGACTCTTGAGTTGATCTGTTTGGCTTTACTGTAACGAGGTAATAACTGCTCAGAAACTGTTTTGCACAGCATAATTAAGCTAAATTAACAGATTTATCTACACTTTTTTTGTTGTTGTTGTTGTTTAGAATGATGTCTCTTGGCCAGCGGAGTTATTTTTAAGTCAGTTCATTATTGCCAAGGTGAACAGCTGGTAATTACAGATAATTACTGTGACTGCAATTAGTGTGTTGGCTTTAGTTGCTCTCAAAGGGTCAAAGGTGATCGCTTTGTTTTATATCAGTGTGCTTTGTTTATTTTTTTATTAAAATGTTCCATTATTGCTCATTTTCAGTCTTTCTCACAATTACGGTTCTTCATCACAAGTAATACTTTAAAAATGTTTCATGCGAAGAACATTTCTGCAGAAGAGCGACTGGTTTATTGCTATTTCTTGTAGCATTTGCTTCATGGTGTATGTTTACATGATGCTACTGAACTCTGCCTCCCGGTTTCTTCACTGTGTTTCTCAGTCAGCACCTGCTTGGTTCGGCTCTGTCAGTGTCTTTCATGTTGTTACCCAAGTGAAGTCCACACTGTGACTCACCTCATCAGTGATTGTACTCTGCAGTGGCACAGAAATGTATGATCAGTTTACTACCAGAAACTGCCTTATAAAGTCCAACTGACTGGATTATTTTAGTATTTATTAGTCCCATCCGGGGGTCATGCGTGGATATATTTCTTTTCTCTGAAGTCTCGCCTCGTCTTGCTTCATGGTGTGAATCTAGATGGGAACAACAGCAGTAGGATTTTGCAGGAGTTTCCAGAGCCGAGCAATAACAGAGTTTAATTATGCAAATCAAGTCCAATTGAATGATAGCAGTAATAACAGGCTTTCTGCAGAGCTTGGGCTTTTTATGGGAGAGTCTTGTCTTTCCAAGCATCTAGTTGTCACAGCCACTCGCGCAGACCATTCATAGATTGCTATGGAAACAGAGATAATTTGTTTGTCAGCCATCCCCTTTCGTGTTTGGCTGCCGAGATGCTGAAAGTCTCCAAAAACTTTCAGACTGCCGTTGTTCTGTTTTCATGACAGATGCAGTTCTTGGGTGTGTTTTAGTTCTGCTCTGCATCCAGTCTTCAAGTCACTTTAACAAAAGCTGCATTCTATCCAAACCTCTAAATAGCTTTTATTATTCCGTGTGAGCGGGCTGACTGGTCACTAAAGAAAGGGCGATAAACTTTAGAACACAATGCGGGGCTTCTGTGCTTTGAAGCTCGTTGCTCAGTGAAATGTCCACAGTTTATTTGGCACAATTGTCGCCCTCAGCTTCTCCCTTTCTTCCCTATGTGCCATGTTTCTCTGAATATGCTTTGTGTTTATATTTTTCATTCCTTCAGAGCTAACTGTAATTAGTATTTTAACCATACTGCTGCCCTTGGGTCAAAATAACCCAATTTTAAAACTAAGATCTTGTAGTTCATTCTGACCTAAAGGCAGCAGGAGGGTTGATGTGGGTATGGTGGCACAGCTGTCAGAGCAAAAAAAGCACCGACATTACGTCATGTCACACTGCCTGAAAAGATTGCCAGTGGAGGAGAACTCTCAGGAGTTTAGAGCTGTTTATCTATTATAGATTTTCTTCTGCTAATTTGTTAAAAACAGTGTTTCAAAAGTAAGGGGAAAAAAAAATCATTTAAAATATCAAAACACAATACATATATTTAGTGTGCTTATGCTAAAAGTCACCGAGACAAGAAAAATGAAATTGACAGAAGCTGCTGATGAGTAGCTGTTGTGGATAATTCAGTCTTTGACTCTTGTGGTATCAATCATTGCATCAATGTCCACCTCGTGTTTTTCCTCTGCTTCACTGCGCATCGGATTCATGCAGATTTCACTGCCGCACACATCAGCGCACAACACAAGTGATTTGGCCTCTTCACATCAGCTGAGCTCGGGCGAGTCCTGTCTGAAAAGTCATTAAAGTGACGCTGCACTGGCAGGTACCCGCATGTAAGGAGCCATTTTTTCTCACACCAGATTCAAGTTGTAACATGTACCGGGTTTGGCAAAGAAAATGGATCATTACAGCAAGTGCAATGTTCCTTCGTGCTTTAGTTTTGTGGTCTGCTTTCTCCTAGACATTTTGCACTTTAAATTGCCTGCAACATCAATTTGTGATATATATGATGCCTTATAGTAAAAAAACAAAAAAACAACCTTAATAACAAATCAAAAAAATAACAATAAATAATTAAAAAACAGTCACAACACTGAAATGAATAGTTTTTGAGATATATGGTCAAAAATGTCACTAAAAAGGCACATGTGCAGTAACTGGTGTGATACGCCAGTTTCCGTTCTCTCAGGTTAACAGACCAGCTGCTCCTGAGAGTCCCAGAACCAAAACGAAAGCTTCGAGGGGATCGTGCTTTCTCTGCTGCTGCTCCTAAAATGTGGAACAACCTGCCAGGTTTCAAAACAGACCCTGTCTGTTTTTAAATCACTTCTTAAAACCCATCTCTTCTCTGCGGCTTTGGACACCACCTGAGATGTTGATTTGATTTCATTTTAGTTCATTTTTAACTAATTTAATTAAATAGATTTGATAAGTTTTTAATATAAAGCTGTTTTTGTTAAGCTTTTAATTGTTTTTATTAGGGGTGCACCGATAAATCGGCCAACCGATTTCCTTAATTTTTTAGGCGATCGGAGATCTACTTACATGAGAAACCGATTTTACAGATTTTTTTTGTGTAGTTTTAACAACAATTGTCTGAACTTCATTTATATTTCAGAGCATTACCTCATGGCCAGTTAAAACAAGTTTGTATTGTTTCTAGGATATTGTTCAAGGGTATGTTTTTCAATAAAATAATATTGGAAAATTGAAGGTGCATTGTGACCTTATGACACCTGACAGCGTCGCTTATTAAACAAAATCGGTTTCGGCCAAAATCAGAATCAGCAGGTCAAACTTTTTAGAGATCGGTGATCAGCGAGAAAACTACAATGGTGCACCCCTAGTTTTTATTATGTACTGCTGTTGTTTTTTTTACTGTAACTGTGCTGTAGCACTTTGGCCCTAAGGTGGTTTAAAGTGCTTTATAAATAAAGCTTCTATGGCATGATGACAAGGAGGATGTAAACGGAGCAGTTGCTACAATGGTTAACACAGACGGTAGCAAAGAATCGGGTTCTTTAGGTTATTTTGAGTCACTATCAGAGAGACACAAGTAAGAAGAAGGTCATCATCAAATGGCAGATAACTAGTCTTGGACGCTGCTCTTGCTACGTTTTAGCCCTGGCACAGCTGACGGCTCAACATGCTGGTCAAGTGGGGGGTGAAGGTGAATGGTTCCTCTTTGTCGTCACTTCCAGTTGCACTTTGGCAAAGTTCTTAAACAAAAAATATGCCCATTCTGGAACAAAATGGGTTTTTATCTCAAAATTATTTGCATTATGCCAAATTTCTTAAATGATAAGATGTTCTCGTCACAGGCACTTTTACCGTGACATAAAATGAAGAATTAACAACAAAAAAAATTGAAGGTGCAATGCAAACATTAATACATTTTTATATTCTCTGCTGTGAAAGATACAAACTGGAACTGACAATTTGCTTTGCTTATTGCTGGTTTTAGCTATACATGAGGAATTAATACATTTTCAGAATTTGCTGTCAGTAGAACAAGTATACATTCTCACCAGGTTTATTCAGGATTTATTTTTCTTTATGCTCATTAAATTGCCTCCAGAAAAAGCTGCTCCTATATTTGTTTATTCATTCATTCAAAGGTTGATGTTTTTCTTGCCATAAGAATAAATAATTTATAGTGAACAAGGTCCTTTTTCAGCATTGACGGCTAAGAAAATTGTTCTGCTGGGACAAATTACTGCTAATGAAAGGGGAAACAAAAAGTGTCGGCTGAAGTAAGGTCCATAAATGGTTTTATTCCACGTTGATGTTAAAACAAATGTTCTGAATGTAAAAGTTTACAAACTAAATATCGATTAAATCCAAGTTCAGGTTCTCTAACTGTGTCCAGACAAATCATCAACATTGCTATTTGATCATCACTTCATTTTTTTTTTTTTGAATAATCTCACAGTCTGAAGAAATATTTTGTGCGACAATGCGTTAAAATCCGATTAGTGTTGAAAATACGAACTGAAAAAAACCAACACTTTCTTTCACGTTTGTTCCGACACAATGCATAATTCATTTGGAGCGAATTAGACTGAGCTGCATCATAAGAAAAATAGTCTGCTCCTTTTTAGTCTGCGATGAGACGACGAGACGCCAGAACGAGTTGAAGAACGGAGGAGGAGGAGGAAAGGAAGGGAAGAGGTGAAAGATTGTGGAGATGGAAGAAAGTGAGAATCAGAGATAATGAGTGAGAGGAAGCCAACTGTTTGTCACATTGCAGAATATTTCACATCAGTTAGTGCTGAAAGTCATGTGTGGCTCTGAGTAAATACGACGCCCTTGTTTTGGGACTTTACCTCTCTTCTCATTATGCTTCTCAGGGAGATAAAAACATGTGTCATTGTCGTCTCTTCAGACTTTAGTTGTAAATAACATAAAGGGTTTTATTCTCTATTGCTCTATCTGATTTATAGTCAATCATCAGTGCTGGTTGCTTTGTTTGTCTCTTGCCTTTTGCTAGCATTTTCTACTCAACCTGGTGAAGCCAATCCACCAGACCCTGGATTAGGTTTGGTTGCTATGATGCATTATGTCTCAATTCCCAGAAGTCTCTGTAGAAAACATTATATTTTCCCCTGTCAGTTTTCCTATATGGCATTTTTTTTTCCGTCCCAACAATTGGGTGTTGTGTTTTGATTCTGTGTGCCTATTATCATGCTATAGAGGTGTGGCAACGTTTTCTAATGCGATGGAGGCCCTGAGTGGGTCATAAATAAGGACTGAGTATTTCACACAGCTGTAGAAGAGGTGCAGAGAAACAGAAAACATAGCTCATCAATGATTCAGGTGTACATTATAAA